AAAAAATCTCCAGTCCGAATCTAAAAAATCTTCCAGTCCGAAGCCGGACTCGCCCCTGCCTGGTTCTGAGTCGGTTGAAAGTCTTTAAAAAAATTCGTATGTCTCTGGTGAAAGATCATTGAACACCAAGAGTGGTTTTATTGTATGAAGGACATGTCAACCTATCATGTACTATGTTTAACTAAAAAATGAAAATTTGTTTCTAAAATGAGAGGAGGGTGTAATCTTAACAATTGAGCCAAGCTACGCTTAAGGAGGAAAGTAAATTTTGAACTTGTTAATACTTGTACGCCTTTCGATTTTGCAGAACGCAAAAACTGTTTCAGATAAGGACGTGTCAAATATGATTGCTAAGTTTTGATCAAATCGGTAGTAAAAGTAACAGTTACACACCAGTTGCACTTCCTGGTCCTCAGATTGTTGTCGCATTTTGTTTCACATGAAATTGAAAATGTTGTTCGGGAGACGGATATGCAAAGTGACTTTATTTTCGAAAAATCACATATCTATCCGGGGCTCAGTACATTAAAATAGAGAAATAAACCACACTCATCAGAAAAGAATCTAAAAGATTACCAGACTCGAAATAGACTCGGGACTTGCTCCTTAATGTTAAGGACTCGGACTCGGCTTGAATTTTTAAGGACTCGTCCATGCCCGCTCAGAACAAACTATTTTGCAACTTTCGAAAATTTCTTTGAAGCTTGAATTACTTTTAATTTTTATTTGACAGCATTTCTACGAAAAAGTTCAGAAAGAGGGAAGCAATATCCTAAAGTTGCCTGTCACGTACTTTGGGAGTGATGTTTTTTTTTATTGACGAAGTCTTTTGAAAAAAAACGAAAAACGGTGTTAGTTTTTCCAATTAATAAAAGACCTGATAGTAAACTTAAAATCTTTCCTTATAAAAAACAAGCGATTTTCAGATTTTGGGATGATGACGAACGTATTTTCGTTATGAAGTACGTTTCGACGGCTTTTTATTTATTTATAATTCAGAACTTTTTTCTGTATTATGAAAAATTAAGAAGGTACTTTAAAAAATCATCGAAACGTACTTCATAACCAAAATATGTTCATCATCATCCAAGAACTTGAAAGTCAGTTGTATACGATTCCTTCTAGAGTATCATTTTCGATTTATTAGTGGTAAAAACACCATTTTTGGATACTTTAAAAGTATCATTTGTTTTCAAGAGTATTTGCATTTTAAGAAAACTTTTACTTTTTCTGCTGCATTATCTGTATCTACTCTCGTAGAAGCAGTTAGCTATACATTGTACTACATTGTTATTATTTCTACACAGTATTTTATTTGCTAGTATCTATCTCATCCTTACTGGAAGAACTCACTATAATTGATATTTTGATATGAAGATTGCGTGTGTTTCTGCATACCTTTTCAAAATCTAATTCAGTCGAAATACCTTTTTGTTTTTATTTGTGTCTCATAAACACTTTAACCTTTTTTCGTGTAGTATGTTTCACTTTAATTTACAAAGTGACACATTTTATCATTGCGAAAAACTTTACCCTGTTGTTTGGTATAGACGTCTGCGAGATTTTAATTACTATGATTTTTAAACACTCTACTCTCTCGTTAAGATCGTTAGCATTTTTTTAGAATCGTATTTTATGATACTAAGCTCAGATTGTTCCTAAAAACTTTCCAATTTGCTGCATTATAGCTGTAAATCAATGTGTACTACCCGACTGTTTTTTTAGCTTGAGTAAACGGACAAAATGTAATAGCTAGATTTCTACAAGTTGTTGTAATACTGGGTACGATTTGTACCTGACACATGAAAGCAACATTACTAATAATTACAGAATGTTGGAGCATCTGAATCAATAAAGTGGCGTTAGTTTTAAAATTGTCGAAAATAGTAAAGAAGTGGGGAGAGTCTCAGAAGTAAAGAGATTATCAGGAATTTTAGAAATATCAGCAAAAAAAACAAAAGTCTCACACCTGAAGGTATATGAGAAACGAAATAAAGGTAACCTGTTTGATAACGTGCAGATATATATAAGTATACATCAGTTATTTCTGACTGATTTTGGATAATCTAGAAAAATTAGCATCACGCGGTTAGCGAGAATCGCCTCGACTTGTTAAACGTCTCATTTTTAGAGAAATATTTAGTCTATCTATGTGCATCAAACAAAAAATTTATAGGATAAAAGAGAAGCTTTTTTTAACGACTTGCTGAAAGAATCTGAACAGTTATATAGATGGTGATCAGCTATTATGCACAATTATGGTAATCTAGATTTCTCATATTTATCTCACAACAAATTTGTCACAATTAAGAGATCGTGAATTCACCATTCAAGTAGGCCGGGGACAAAATTTTGTGTTTGTCAAAAAATGTTTCTAATTTTTTAGTATAGTAGAGAGATGAGGACGCAGCAAATCTAATATGTTCTGTTCTTTCTTCTTTTCTCTTTGTTTATGGGAGTAGATGCATTACTCTTTGGGGAGAATGATGTCCATGTGTGTAAGGATGGGACTAGTTGCACATGTAAGTATTTTTTCTATGCCAATGGCATCACATAATAATTCTATTAAACATCATAAGCACTCTTAAAAAAATGTGTTCTTCAGTTTTTCAAAGAACTGAAAAGTTAACGGAAATTTTGTTCTTTATTTGTCCCAAATAGAGAACAGCACTCAGATTCTGTTCTTTAGCTCTCAAGAACTCAAAATTTGTTCTTCAATTCTCAAAAAAATGATTTTTTTTTTTCGTTCTTTGAAAAATTGAAAAACAAATTTAGAATTCCTGAGAGCTAAAGAATAGAATTTGAGTTCTGTTCTCTATTTGGGACAAATGAAGAGCAAAATTCCCGTTGACTTTTCAGTTCTTGAAAAACTGAAGAACACATTTTTTTAGAGTGTGTAGTTGACTCAGTTCTTCGCCTTCGAGGCATTACGATATGCTAACGCATTATAATGCAATAAATACGAAAAAAGGATCCCATGAGGTTACCTATCTAGATATGTACAGCCGTATTATGAAGATCCGGACTTTACAATATTTTGCGATTGTCGATATTATTCAATGTATATACATTTAACAAGAACATACGATCTCCAATTCATTGACCTTCCGTACATCGTACCTAACTTCTACCCGGGTTGCTATTCGATTCCAGCATTATTTGAGTCAGATCTAGAATGTTTCTTCAATGAATCCTGTTTAGAAACCATTCTGTTGTACTCAAATTCATCATCATCGTCAACAATCAGTACTACGACCAACGCTTCATCCTTGCCAAGGTAACTGTTGAGGCTGGTTTCCTTAAAAAATGTTTTTCAAAGAAACCAAGCAACTTTGAAAATGCCTAGTATATGCCATCTTGTAGAGAAATATTTGCTCTACAAAACTGCTGATTTCCGAAAATTTCACAGTTCGTTGTTGCGAAAATACAAACTATTTTTTGAAAAATACGACTTTTGTATGTCTACTAAGCACAGGAAGCTAGCTGGTTATACACTTAGATGCGAAGACATCTCAGAATATATTAGTAATCAATATGTCAATATTCTGAGAGCGAAAATGATCCTACACGTTCTTTCATTCATAAAATATGACAGAGATACGAACGGCTACTCTTTTAGATAAGTTGTGAAAAGTAATAGTTTGTATATTTGTGACAATTCCAAAACAACAGGAAGTGTAGAGTGCAAGGATGTCAAAAAATAATGAGTTTTCGAGCAATTTCGATTTTTCACGTAAAAATTCATATACGGTTCTCCTCACGGAAATGCAAAATTAAATCCGGTATTCTATGGTTTTATTGATTTATTTTACCATCTTGACCTTAAATAACCATCTTGTAGCAATTATAGATGCAATTTCCATTCACTATACGATGGTAGGTCTGACTTGAGCACATGCCTCAGTAATCAGACGGAACATGTTACTCAATAAACCATAAGTTTGACTTAATTTTACTTCTGGTCTCATTATTTTAGACGGTGAGAACTATGATACTTGTTTCTACGTTTAATAAATATAAACAATAGTTATTAGAAACACTATTTACAAAAAAGATCGACTCTGTTCTTGGTCAACAGTTTTACGTTTATCCAATTGTTGGCTCAGCAGTAACTTTATTATTTTCATCGACCGATACTCTCACACGATCATCTTGAACATCTCGAGTTAAACGAGAATTTGGACCACATAATTGAACTTTTGTTAAACCTACAACATAAAAAAAATAAAAGCTCATACGAATCGATGGTATTCTAAAATGAGAAGCACCATACCAGATTCTTGTTTAATGATTTCAGCTGCTTCAGTGCCATCTTTTCCAATTAGCTCAGGCCAACAATCTTTATGACTGTTAGCTGTCGTAGCCATTTCAGCTTGAATTTCCAAACAAGAATACGAAATAAAAAAATAAATAAAAAATAAAATAAATTTCATATGTATATATCCCACATTTTCTAAAAAAGAATGCGTATTGTTTTGATTTGGAGCAGAAACAATATAAACATAAGTATTCTTAGACTAATGATAATAAACACTGATACTTATACTTGTATTTGAGTACTTTTCAAGTATTTCTCGCGCAAAAGGCATTGGAAAAGTAGTACTCAAGTACAAGTATCCAGTCTCTAATGTTAAGCTTCTAAAGCGTTTGTGATTGCAGTCCAAATGTTCAAGGATCTGATAAAACTTCTGAATTTTACTCAAAAATAACTTTCTGTAAGTGTCTCATCGATTAATACACTTAATATAGGTATAATATTTAAGTCTGAGTATTGACTGTGAAATAGTATTTGCTTATTCCATCTTCAAATCAAAAATGATAATCAAGCGGCAGTCTATCGGAAATCCAGAATGAGACATACTATTTTTATTTCTTCATTTCGTTGTTTCCTATAATATATAGCACACTACAGAAA